CTGCCAGCAGAGCCTCCGTGGTGCTGCTCAGCTCTGCCTGCTGTGCCCGCCGCGGAGCTCCGTGAGGCTCTGGCTGCCCAACGGGGTTAGGTGGCAGAGCTGCAGCGAGGCTGCCGGGCTGGGGCCGCCGCTGGCTCTGCACAGCGCGGCGCACAGGGCTGCAAATGAAGCGTTACGCCACTGGCCCCATTACAGGCACGGCTTCGGGGCCGGCAATTTCGGTGCTTTTGTTACGGTAGCGCTGGCTCTAGAGGAACGGTTTGCCTCTGTCGGCAAGACAGAGCGGCTCCGCATGCGGAGTCCGCGAGCAAGGGGTTCTACGCATGGCGGCGCGTGCCCGTTGCATGCAGCCGTGCATGCGAGCAAGCGCGTGCGCTCGTGCCCGCGGCTGCGCGGTGCAGCCGTCTGCGGGCGCCTGCTCGCTCATGGCCACGCACGAGCCCCAGGAAATCACTGTGCCGTGAGCCTGGTGCCTGCCAGGGTTCCTGGGGTGCCTCTGCTTCTGAGCTCTGGCCCGGCAGCTCTCCCCGTGCTGCCACTGGAGTTTTTCTAGCAGTTGGGAACACCATCTTTTCCCTGCGAGCTGCCTGTGCCCATGTCCTGGATCGTGTAAGAGCGCGTGGGCCACTTGGCTGCGCTTCCCTTCAGCCCGGGGAAGGCACAAAGCAGAGCTTGCTCTCAGCTCGCACCTTCACATGCTTTGGAAATGCTGTGAAGCCACCAAAGCTTTAATGTCAAACTTCAAAACACAGCATTGGCAGAAAGAGGTGCAATCCGTGCATGTGCAATGCAAATACTGTATTTTCCGCTCTTCTTTCCCGGTCTCTCCTTCTCTTTTGCACCTCTGGAAGTTATGTTCCCTGCTAATGATGTCTCTGGAAACGAGATCCCGTCGTGGCACGTGTGACATCTGCACCAAGGCGGTTGGTGGTGTTTTGGTGCTGGCTTCGGAGGGAGCCGTGAGGTGCCGTGGGAGCCGGGGCTGTGCCCAGGGTTGGGCTGCTCCAAGCACGTTGCATCCCTGTGCTGAGGCTGCTCATGGCAAGCGTGCAGCAGGGGCTTTGTTCCCCTTGTGTTTCAAACACAATTTTTGGGGGGAAAAAAGGCAACAATACTGCAATGTCTCACCGAATGTTCAGGAGAAAGAAACGCTGTTGTCAAAGGGTGTTTTACTCCACAGTGTCTGTCCCTGAGGCCGTTCTCCATCCGGATGCAGAAGGTCCAATTTACCCAGTGTGACTGTAAACACGGGAACTGATAACCCCCAAACTCCTCAAATTCCTCCCTGGGGCGCAGGGGATTAGCTGAGCTTTAATTGGGGATTTTTGCGGTCCTTGGTTTTGGTGGTGTTGAGCGAACGCAGCCGCACGTGGAGCCGCGCTGCGGGGCTCACGGGGAAGGCGTCATTGCAGGATGGCGGTGACTGCTGTGGCCCTGGTGCCCGGCGCTGTGGGTCGGCACCGGCCCCTCGAGGCCTGTCCGTGCACCAAGTCAGCACTGCAGGGGCCTTCGGGGACCGTGGCCCTCGTCCGGGTGCTGAGTGGAGCGGATTGGCCGCACTGGGAGCGGAGGGAATTGCAATGAATCCATCGTGGGTGGAAGTAATTGAAAGGTAATGATGGACGGGTGTCTGCTTCCAAGCAGGGATGGGGGGGGATACACGTGCTGCCACCTCCGTCCTGGAGGAGGGTGAAGGGCTTTGACCTTCTGCAGGTTTGGAGAAGAGAAGGGAGAGCTGCCGCGGGGGAAGCTGTGGAAGCAGCAGCACGAGGGAGGAACTCGGCGCTCTGCAGAACCCGCTTGGTGTTGGCATCGGGGACATGCGGGGACCTTGTGCGGCCCCTGGTGCCATGTGTGGCTGCCCCGGCGTGTGCAGGCAGCAGCGGTGCCCGGGGCAGCCGTTCCGTGCTGCCTTTCAGCGATCCTTGTCTGCCCTCCTCCTCCTCCTCAGGGCCTTCCGCCGCCCCCGAGCTGTGGCTGGAGCTGTGTGCCCATCCTGCCTCTGTCCTGTCCTGAGCTGCTCAGCTCCCTGGTGCCATTTTGGGGACTTTCTCCTTGTTTTCGCTCTGCCTGGCTTTGTGGGTTGTGAGAGTCGCAGCAAAGTCCGTGCCCGTTGCTCTGGCAGGGGGGGAAATGATGGAGGGAGCCTCTGGTGCTACGTGGCTCCATTCCTGCTCCACCGCCGCTGTCCCCCTCAGAACTGCCTGTCCCCAGGCCGAATAAAACCACCAGCTCCTCTCGCCGCTCGCGTTAGCAGCAGAATAACCAGCGCAGGGTTTTGCCCTTGGCCACCAGCGCCTGTTTTCCCGGAGCTGCCGGATAGGAACGTCCAGAGTGCCGGGCAGCCCCTTGCCCCGGGCCAGGGCAGCAGGAACCCAGCGGGTGCTCGGGGACCCCTGTGCAGAGCCAGGGACAAAGCGGCTCCTAATCCCCGCAATTCCCTCACCCTTGGCCAGGGAGGAGCTGGGGCTGCGCCCCGGGGTGATGCCGGGGAGCCGGCGGTGCCCTGCGGGACCCACTGTGGGGCTGGTGGCTGCTCCGCGCCTGGGATGCCTTGGGGCACCCTGTCCCTTGGGGCACCCCGTCCCCTGGGGCGCCCCCCTCGCAGCAGCCACGCCGCGGGGCAGCACCGCGGTGGGAGCGCGCGGGGCCCGGAGCCGCGGCCCCCATGGCCCCCGCCGCCGCTAGTGGCCACTGGCGCGAGCAGCG